TCGTCTCGTTCGACAACCGCGACACTACATTTTTTTTTGTCGTTTTTCCCCGTGTGTGTTGACAGCCCCGTCCAGGTAGAAACTGTGACGATGGCGAGAGTACGCGACGCGCCCGAAGGGGGGGGCGCATCTACTGGGGGAGGCGACGACGACGACGTCGTTGAGGGATGGGCAACCGGTTCGGACCCGTTGTTCTGGCCAGCAGTTTGAAGCACGGCGAACGGCAAGGAGGACGTCAAGCACGTGCTAGTTCACGGCGAACTTCGGGCCGAGGGGGGGGAACGTGGCTGCACGCGTGTACCGGTGGACAACAGCGACTTGGTGATGCGCGATGGCAAGGGGGACTACAGCTTGGTGCCCGATCTTCAAGTGCGCGACTTGTACGTGGCGAAGAAGAAGAAGGAGGAAGCGCTTTTCTGGCCAGCCCGGCGGATCGTGGATGGAGAGACGGAGTACAAACACGTGCACGTCCACGACGGCGAGCGTCCCTACGGGGACTGCGTGCGGATAAAGCCGAACGCTCTCAACGTCTCACATCGGTGCGAGTGCCGCGACTGCAAACGCAAGCCGTTTGACAGCTCTTCGCGGGTCCCTTTCAACCCGCGTGACCTGCTGGGGCGGGACGGGCGAGGGGATTTCTGCTTGGTGCCCGACCACGAGGTCCTCGCCCTCTACTTTCACGACGAGACCACGGCGAAGGAGAACGACGACGGCAGCAACCAGTGGGTGTCGGTGTTGAAGGGCGCCGCCATCAAGAAGAAGGGGGAAGGACGCGCCGCGCACATCTCTGACATCATTGGGGTGGATAGAGGGGTCGCAGCGATAGGGAAGGAGGCCTGGGGCATGATGCAGGAAGACATGAACGTGGTCGAAGATAAGGAGAACCCGGTTGAGGTCGCGCGGCCGGCTCCCAAGGACGGGGAGGCGCCGACGCATCGGGTGTTTCCCGGACGCTACGAGCGTTCCGGGATCTACTTCGGCAGGAAAGAGGGCGAGGGGAAGGACGGCCATGCCGTGAAGCTCGTGCAGGATGCCGTCGAGCTGCTGAAAGGGATTCCCGGCGCCTGCCAGGTGAAGGACACGAAGAACGACCCTTCCACGGCGGCGGTCATCATGACTGTAGGGCAACACCAAGACGGGTACT